CTGACTCCTTTGTCGTCTCCACGGCACCTGCTGGCCCTGACTCCTTTGTCGTCTCCACGGCACCTGCTGGTAGTGACTCCGTCGTCGAGGTGTCCATGGCTGCTGGCACTGACTCCTTCGTCGAGGTCTCCACACCACCTGCTGCCACTGACTCCTTTGTCGAAGTCTCCACTGGCGCACCTGCCGGCACTGACTCCTTTGTCGAGGTCTCAGCTGGCACACCTGCCGGCACAGACTCCTTTGGGGTCTCCGCTGCCGGCTCCTTGTCGACCTGCATGTGCACAACTGTCCTGTCCGACCCTGGCTGGGTCTCCACTCCAGAGCACAATTTCCGGGTCACGTCCTCGATGTCGCAAGTGGCCGGCCTTCGCAGCATGGCTTGGATATAGGCCGAGCGCTCTCCAGTCAGCTCTGCCGGCTGCTGCAAAAGTGCCGAAAGGAGGGATTGCAAAGCCTTGGCTCGCTGCTCAGCCTCACCTGCTCGCTGCTGGGCATTCTCGATCTCATCTTGCTCGTCCAGAAGTCGCTCCAGATGCATCTCGAGGTCATCCTTGGCACCCCTGCTCACCGACTTCACAGGGGCCTCTTGGCCCTCAACCGATGCCTTTGCTGAAACCGTCGAGCAGGTCGCTGTGACATGCACAGAAGCTCCGCCAGAAGCCTCTGCAGTCGCAGAAGTGCATCCTGCAGAGACTGAAGCACTGGCCTTCGAAGCTGTCGGGGATGCGGTCGGATTTTGTTCCACCTTTTGCTCCGGGGGTGGCAGGCTAACGGCTGGCTCAGGATCCAACACCTGTGTTTCCACTTCTGCTTGGGTGGCCTTGGCTGCCGGGGCTGACTCGGGATCGGGCTCTGTTTGTGGTGCCGTCGCGGCAGCCGGTTCCTTTGGTGTCTCCATAGACTTCATGAAGCAGGCCATGCCACAGAAGAGCTGTGGCCCCTGCCCAAATCGACTTCAACAAGAAAAACTATGTACGGAAAAAAATTACTGAAACTACGCTATAGTGAACTCTAGGTACAACTTTAGGCCTTCTTGATCACAGCATCCGCATCTGCACAGGTGGAACTGCAGATGCAGCAGTTCCCTGGATCCTGCACAGCCGAATGACAATACATAATCATGGGGCTGTCTAGTATGTTATTACTATTGTATTAGCAGCAGCAGCAGCAGCAGCAGCAGCAGGAGGAGGAGGAGCAGGAGGAGGAGCAGGAGGAGGAGGAGGAGTAGTAGTAGTAGTAGTAGTAGCAGTAGTGGCAGTACTAGTACTGGTAGTAATAGTAGTAGGAGTAGGAGTAGGAGCAGGACTTAAAGTAGACATAGTAATACACTAGCAGTAAGCAAGACTCATGATCAGGGTTCCTGACCCTCCCCCGCAATAGGGCAACCTAAGCTTAAGGATAATGTGATCCTATATAGACGTATATATGCCTGCAAGAAGTAAAACAATATTTAGCCCAGAAAATTCTCTCAAAGCCAGACCTATAGCTAGGTCACTCGGAATTTAAGGATTCGAGATGAAGGCTTAGGGTTAGGAGGTTCGGGGCTTGGGGTTGCGAGGTTGGGGGTTTGGAGTTGGGAAGTTGAGGGCTCGGGTTGTTAAGGTTGAGGGCTTAGGGCTTAAGGGCTTTTAAGGCTCAGGGCATAGGGTTGTTAGGTCGGGAGCTTAGGGTTTTTAAGGTTGCTTAAACTGGTCCCGTGTCTCCTCATCTGGCTGGGTGCCGGCGAGATCTTGGGTTAGTCCTGGCAACCGGGATATATGGACTGTTGTCTAAAGGTTTTTGCCTAAGCTATCCCTTATTGTTTGTCCCAAGCCAGTCTGGTAACACATCATCTAGAGATCTGTCCTTTGTCGAGGCTCATCTCCCCGAGATACTGAGTCACACTAATCGTAGACGAGGAATCGGTATGTCGGGGCTTTTCAGAGGACACTGATGAAAAGCTAGGAAGCCTTGGGACTTCGCTTGCAGTCAAGGACAGGGATGAGGTGCTGCGGTGCCGCTTGGCATCCGGGGACTTCAGAGGTGTGCTTCCGGTCGACATAGGGCTCGGTCCCGGCATTGCAGTCTTTTCTGGGGCTGCTGGCGGGGTCTCGATCATCGGGGTGTTGATGGGAGGGCGGGCCGGTGTTGCCAACGGGCGTGGGTTGCTGGCACCACTGTCAGGCTTATCCTTGTTCTTTCCATGTTGCTGCAAAGCTTTCTGGACCATTGCCTGCACTTTTGCAGACACTGGTGTAGCCGCAGCTGCCGTGTCGCCACGCTTTCCCATTGTAGCTGGGACGTCAGCAGCTATCAAAGCAAACCTTTGAAACACTGCGGCAACCAAGGAACGGTGGATGTGGGTCTTGTCCGAAATACAGGACTCCAGAAGGGCTGTAGGATAAGTCTATTTTTAAGTTCCGAAGGAAGGAGTCTAATAATTTGGGTGTTGGGTCCTAGCTGTTTCCGGATAAAACAAAATAACGCGGTTTAACGCTTTTTCACGCTCTTTAACGCGAGGCCTTTCTGAGGTAGGTCTTTGGATATATTTTTAACGCTTTTTCACGCTCTTTAACGCTTGCCTCGGGCATCATATATACCGGGATTCGGGTGATTCAGGGATATTTTGGTCATGCCCTGCAATAAAACCATCACATAAACACAAAGTGCCCCTGTTTGGCTGGTATAAACTCTTCGGATCCTGTATATACACTGATATAATACCATTATGCATGTACCCATAACACTAAAGGTCTGCCTATATCTCTGTGTAATTCTCAATGTATCCCCAAAGGGTTGCCTTGCCTCGGGTTCTTTAATGAAGGGTCTTTGAATCTAGAACTTAGCAATGTTTCCTGTGTTCATTTATGAGCGAATATTGCGGCGCCGATGCAGAATTCCTCATCAGAAGCCCAGCATCCTGTGACCACGAAATAAGCCCCAAGCCCAAGGCACGATCACAAGACCCAGTGGTGTTGGGGTCTCGGGGTCTGGGCATCCTGAGGTCCAGCCTAGCTGCAGGGTTTTGGGGTACAAGGGGTATTGAGCGGAATCTGGCATAGGGGTCCCTCGGAGTCTAGGGGTATTGAGCGGGGTCTAGGATCTAGGGGTTCGGTGCGTCTCGGAGTCTTGGGGTTCTGGATGTAGATTGTGGTTGATTGGGTAAATGCTTAGCCGAATTCGAAGCCGCTACCTAGCTATTAATTATTAGAGCATAAGTCTGCTCCTTTATGGATCCAGGGGTCCGGTGGGTCTCGGGGTCTAGGAATCTAGGGGTGTTGGTTTGTGCAGGTTTAGACTACCCATCACGATCTGAGGTTGCACTTGTTGCTGATATTCAATCTCCTTCGGCGGCGCCTGGTCTGGCTACTTCTGGCCAGCTGCTGGTGCTTGGTCGCCAGCCACAACTAAACATTGGGTTTGGGGGTGCTGCACGAGCCCTAGTCAAAATCCCAGGTCTTAGTGAGTACAGAGTGTAGTTGCCGTTGTTGCACAAAGATCGCAGCTGTAGATCACCCCATTCCCATAGCAAAAGCTAAGCCCGCAAAAACTCGCCGCCAATCCCAGCATAAAGTCTGAAATTAATAAAGCCGAACAGATCAACACGGACCGTTTAAATTTCAAGCCATGTAACTCTGCTGAACGGAAAAAGCCGAACATAATCAGCTTATATTATTCACCTACAACCTAGTCTAATTGATACTCTGATCTTATAACCTAATCTAATCTATAGTCTAATCTAATCTAACCTCCTCCAATTGCAATAGTCTAATCTATGTAGGATACCCTCACCCCAATCAATATATATATATATATATATTCGAAGCATAAAGACTTAACGGGGATCCTTTGCTAGCCCTGTAACCCCGCACAAACGGAGACCCATATATATATATATATGTATAATATCATAATATACCGGTATCATGTAATCCATTATAACAGAATATATATATATATATTATATATATATTATATACATATATATATATATAGATATCATATATATATAATGACATCTGAGATTCGATGGCTTCGGCGAACACTGGGCGCTTGGTGCCTTTGGGTGCCTCTTGGTGTGGCTTGGCCTTTCTACACTTTCTAAATGATGATCAGGTCAGAGCAGGTAGCCGTACATGACAGTAGAATCCAATGCCCTACAAAGGAATATCCCCCAAAGGCACCCACTGACCCCGAATTGCTTCACTCACCAGGAAAGACTGCAAATCCTCTAGACCAGCAGCGTCCCAGCATGGAAACTCCTTGGTTGGTATGTTGGGATCAGGGATTAGGGTTTAAGTTTAAGGTTTAGGGCCGTTTAGGGTTGGGGTTCTAAGTGTTGCGATTTGCAAGACTGGCAGCAGGACATGAGTCAAGGTGCGAGGCTCTGCACGGCTCGGGTGACCATATCGATGTTCAGCTGGGGTCCTCGTTCTTCCTGGAACAACATCGATTCGATGTGAGTTGCAGGGGATGGAACTCACAATACAAGATAGTCGTGCTACATCTGCGTCCCGCCTCTTGCCTGTTGTGATCAAGATGCATATGAGCAATTGCACGAGCGAAAGCCGGAGGATAGGCAGCAGTCGAAGCTAGTTTTTTGGTGCCAGTCCTCATGCAATGGATATTGTGTTTAAGTGTTTGGTACCGCTAGACTCTAGGCCTGGTCCAAGCGCGTTGAAAGCAATATCAACCAAGGTACACAGCCACCTGACCCTGGCTGCGCTTGACTCTCCTCACCACCGATGCCGCACCTCTGGCGAAGTCCTGCTTTCTGTCTTTAGACATTCGGTTGCGGATGCCGGGCAGCCACTTCCTCAATTGAAACTGCCGTGAGAAGAAGATGACGTCTGTAGATGTTTGCAAGGATGCACTGATGAGTTAGTAAGGCTAGTGCGAACATCCCATCAGATAGCTGGGTTTCGCATTGTTGCCCCCGTAGAGGCCCATCCAACTCGGATCCACACGATATATACTGTGGCACGATCAGACATGTAACAGTCCTATATGCATTGTTGCAAAACACCATGATCATGACAAGGTGCAACGAACAAACATCCCAACCAGCATCACAGTGATTCAAGACATCCCTCAGGAATGTAAAGAGCGGGATGTGTTTCAGCACACTCGAAGCCGGCTGCTCGATAGCCGACCAAACCCTGCGCACTGTGGCCAAGTACAGCAGCATGCAGAATCTCGTGCAGATGCGGTTGGCAATCATCACACCTCGGACACAGAGTCTGCTTTGGGGTTTGGGTTTGCCAGAGGGACAAAACAAATTGGACGTAGGCTGCAGAAACCATTGCAGTCGGGAGTCTGGGCTCGTCGAGATTGCCCCAGGGGCTTGTGCAACATCGTTGATGCACTGACTGCGACATGAATATCATGTTGCAACACGGGTGCCCCGCCCACAGCAGTCCTCCGGGCTGCACTCGCAAGGTTTTTTTCAAGAGGTTCAGAAACCCCGTCGTCGAGAGGATGTTCTCTTCCAGGGGCGAGGTCTGGATGTCGTAGGTCGACCTCGCAAACTGTTCCCTATATTAATCTCATGTACACCCAATCTAGGCAGACGTGAGCTTGAATGCAACCACATGTCAATTAAGAGCCCTGCACACGCTGCCCCTTTTCATGAAAAGCAGCAGCCACACGACCAACCCCAGAGAAGGCTTCGAGGAGCATCAAATCCTAGGCTGACCAAGGTTCTAGTGTGATCGAACATACAACCTCATATTCTGATGACAGCCCTTGAGGCATCGTCTCGCCAGTGCTTCTCGTCCGCAATCGTCGCGACGTAGTGGGCGGCCTGCAACCTGAGACGGGCAGTTAAACCGAGCCAAAAAACCCAGCAAGAACCATTAACCTGGGCTTCCAGAGTGTATACAAGCGGTAGGGTTCATTGGGTGGCCGTGGGAATTGCAAGATCCGGGTTTGCCTCAACATAAGTCTGATTGGAAGGACCAGTAAGTTAGTCAAGTAACAGGATCGCTGGCACCCCCAACGCCAACAGCATAGCGGCAGCGGAGCCACTCAAAGAGAGCGGGTAAGCCCTTGCATCCATCCCCAAGCAAGCAGCTTGCAACCCTGATCCCCAAGGAACCGCCGCGATGGCTGAAGATTCAAGCTGGGCCACGTGCATGCAAAGAAGACAGCATATCTATGAGGTTGCAGGTTGTCGGGTTTTTCCATGGGCAATCAAGCTAACTTGCCGGCGACCGTTTTGACTTGGTGCCCGCCGATACGCCTCTGTCTGCATGCTTCTTTATAAACACTACTGGGAACTAATCGGATCCGGTGTTCACATCTTTCTTGATAGCCCCTTTCTCTTGCAGATACCGTACAACACGGCGTAGACGGCGAGCAAGCCTTCGGGCTGACGGCCATGCCTCAATGTAATTAAAAGAAGCACAGCACACACACACACACACTTGTCACCACGACGACCTAATTAATGCGACCTGGAGACTGATCTCTCCAGTGACGGAATGATTGCTATCATTTTGCGAAGCTTGTACTTGCCGCTGCAGATCATCTCGAGAGCATCTTTGCTAGTGAACTCTGGCTTCTTGCCGCCATTGCTGCACCCGGATCTACTTCTCTTTCCCATGGCTTGATCTAGCAGCTGCAGCAGCAGCAGCAGAAATGAAAGGCACTTCGGAAATCATGCAGCAAAGAAAGCACGGTCAGCCTTCATTTCCACAGAAGCTCTTCGAAGCGACATCGAACGGGTTTTCCGTTACACCACCCGGGTGCAGACATGCATGCTGCTAGCCCCATATACTTATGAACACATATACAACACCACGACGTACATACGTGTGTCTTTAAAGAAAGACTTCCGCACCTACACACACACACAAGTGTTTCAGGTTGAGAGTAGCTATAGCCGGATTCGGGCTTGGGTTTAGGGTTTAGGGTTTAGTGTATAGCAGATACAGATGGGAGTGAACTGTCTATTGCATGCCATGCCTGCACAGGCCCCGATTGAAACGAAATCAGGAGATAAACATCACAAAGGATGTCGCGAAATGTCCAGACACTCAAACCCTGTTCCCAACCTTCGAGATAAACTCTCGGACAGCCGATGTATCATTGGCATCCAACCCTTGTGGCCTGTTGATCCATCCCGCCAACAGCATCGACAGTCTCCAGCCGTAGTCCATGCCGTGCTTCTGCCAGTTGACAGCACAGCCTTGCTTGCTGGCATTGGCCTGCTCAGGTGATGATTTGAACTAGGCAGAACTGTAATTTATAAATCGGCATTACAACTGTAGAAATACACACATATAGTTACATGCATGTGTACATGTGCACGGCTAAACAGAGTACGAAGCCATGACGTTGGGGCCTGGATGTAGTGGGCTTTTGCGACATCCACGAACCATTGCTGCTGTTTCATGTGGAGCACGTAGAACCCGTGGCGCTGCCCATATGGTTAGGATCATGAACCGTATAGGACCTCAGGACATCCAGTGTAGGAGGATGGCATGGGAATTTGATGCAGTACGACATGTCTCAATAAGTGCTGCCAACGCTGCTTCTGCTTGAGCTCGGCGGCTGTGGGCATTCTCAGCCCAATATTGTTCATCTTGTAGAGCGACTTGTGCAGATCCGCAACGGTCCGGTTCTGCAGCCAAGTTGACAGTCGTGGCACGTGTGTACACACAGCATGCACTGGCTTATCTAAAATGATGTGCCTCCTTCGTGGTCTTCTGCTTCTTCGCTTCCCCACCCTCTTCGGCAGTGGCCTGTGACCGTTTTGGGCCTTTGCCCTTCGGCTTGTCTGTGTGGCTGGGCTCCTGGGTTTTTCCTTCGTCTGGCACACCTGTCTGCGGATTCTCTGTGGCGCCGGGCTCCTCGGGTTTTCCTTCGTCTGGCACACCTGTCTCCTGATTCTCTGTGGCGCCGGGCTCCTCGGTTTGGCCTTCGTCTGGCACACCTGTCTCGCGATTCTCTGCGGGGCCGGGCTCCTCGGTTTGGCCTTCGTTTGGCACATGTGGGACATCACTTGTGCCACCCCTTTTCTTCCCACGACCTCCGCCCTTGCCTCAGACACAATGAAATGTGACTGTCTTTACAGCAATAACAAAATCATATCTACACATGCATGGGACCTACAACGCCAATAGATGCTGACCTGCTGCCGGCACGTGCGAGCACCTTTGCTGCCTTCTCCTCTCTGGCGTTCTTCTTCAGCTGCTGTTGCTGCTGCAACACCGTTAGGTCTGCATCTGGGCACTGCATGGCCTTAAGTTGCTCATGCAAAGCCGTCTGCGGCGCTGGCACCGCACTCTTGTCCAGCAACTTTCCATCATCCTGCACATGTACAAACAACACAGTTTTAGGGTTGGGGGTCTGGGGTGCAGGGTTTAGAGCTTGTAGCAATCAACCGCCAATCAACCGCCCCCTTCGAAACTCTGGGTGTCGAGCCTTCCAAGCAAAATTTCAAGGACACAAGCAGGAAACCCCAGGCCCGAACCTTGAAACTTGAAACCCTAAAGTCCCTAAAGTAAAGCCAAAAAACCCTCAACCAAAGGCCCGTAATCCTGAAATACCTTAAATCCCACCGTGAACTAAAGTGCCACCCAAACCTTTCTATAGCTAGAGTCTATATGCCTGGTCGAAACGTACATATAGTACAACTTTAAACTAGGCTCGCAATGATGACAGGGACTCCCAAAATGCTCCGAGGTGGTGGGTCCTTCTCCGGTGGCGGGGATGCTGGCGCTGGCGAAGGGACTTGCGAATCCTGGAGGGATCCATCAAGTGCCCATTACACGTATCTAATTTCATCCAATTCTAGATCTGAGTGCGGGGTTTATCCCGTCGAGACACTGACGCCAAATCGTGTACCTACAGCTACGTATCACGACTGCTAATAAAATCACGGCATGTATATATGTATGTATATTCATATACACATATCTGACCTTCCTCTGGTTTTCTGCCTCCCGGTGTTTACGTGTTAATTATGGGGCTTGGATGTTAGGGGGTTTGGGTTTGTTTGGATTTAAAGGAATTCGATGTAAACTTGAGCATATGATACATATCGCTGTGATCTCTCGAATAATTTATAAGTATAGAATGGACGAGGGTGCTGGGGTAATATCTTCGGTTTTAGTCGGGTTATTTGTTTATCAGGCTCGGGACGATGTCACTCCAGAGGAACATGAAACCTAAACTTGTAAACCATAAATGAAACCCAAGACCCCGAAAGCCAAGCGCCAAAACCACATCCCCAAAAGTCGTATCATAAGAACTTCGGACATTCAGGGCAAGAAGTTGCTGAGGATCGATATAAATCTTACTCGACTTTCTAGGAGCACCCCACTCGTAAGCTCATATTGCGATTTGCAAACTAATCGTCGTCCTCCATCGAAACATCTGGTATGTCCGTCGATGCTGGCTCCTGATCGCAAGCCCAGAGGTTGAGGAACGGATTGGTTCAGAAAGCCGGAAAGCTCACGAGTTCTACAAGGGATCGGTAAGTCTTGTCTTTTGAAGCTTCAACCCTAAACCCTAAACCCTGAACCATAAACCCTGTATAACCCCTAAGCCCCAAACCCTGAACCCAGATTGAAACCCGAAGAAGCAAGGGATTCAGATCATAGCCCCTGAGTAGCTTCGTCTCTCTCTAGAACCCTGAAGAGCGGATTAGGGTTTAAGGTTTAAGGTT